TTATCGGCTACATGAGTTTTAAAATATCGGCATATCGGATATCGGCCAAAATCCCAATATCCTGCATCCCTAATAAAAAAGAAATCTTGTATTCATGTACAGTACAGTAAAATATGAATTATTTTGATAACTACACCTCCCAGATAGAAAATTATTAGAAATTCAACTTTAAAATACGGAAATACAGAAATACTAAATCCATTTTTAAACCGGACAATGAAATTATAAAAATAACTTAGATGCAAAATCAACATTTGCAACCGTAAATAATTCTATATCAATGTGGATTCAGCTGTTATTTAAATTTGGATATACATGAACTTTTGTGTTGATTTTATATCTTATCAAAATTTGGAAATCCATATTAATTGGTGTGCATTTTAGAGACTGAAATATTTTTTCGGGATTCCAGTGGGATGGGAGTCAGTATTAGTAACGATCACGTGATTGGGACGGTACAGGATTAAACATTAACGGGAGCAGACGGGAGCGGGAGCAAACCAATTTTAACTAAAAAAAAAACACTAGGATCGATGCCAAAAAATGAAATAGAAAAAAAAAAATCCAGTACTGGCGCCGCCATTTGTAGTTTTTCTTCCTTGAAGCCTACACTATAATGCGAGTCAAAAAAACGACAAGACCCAAAAACCAACAGTGCTTCCGCTCTGAGTTTTTCACCCGCGCTCAAAAACAACAATGGAGGGACCAAGAGTTACTATTAGAAACAGGAACTTAACTTACTCTTCATAGAAATTCAGATTCAATGTATTGGCAGAAATCTTATTGAAGACGACAAGAATGGGAGTGGTGCAGGAGCGGGAGTCATTCTGAATGGGAGCGGGATGGGAGTGGGAGTAATTTCACCAGGAGTGGGACGGGACAGGATTTAGATTTCTACTCTGGCCCGGGATCGGGACGGGACACCATTTTTTTTCTGTGGGAGTGGGACGGGACAGGAGTAAAAATCCACTCCTGTGTCAGTCTCTAGTGCATTTCACATTGAAATGTTTAACTTTCTAAAGACATATAAAACCTAATAGAAAAGTTTAGTTTTCTACAAATGAGTTTCTGCTTACAGGTCTACATTATAACATAAAACTCTATCAGGATGAAAACTTGGTGTATAACACCTTATTTTATCATAATCAAATTTTCGTCTCTTTATAGGCAGGACTTTGTACCTTTAATGCATTGTAGGTAAGAATATTATAAATATTTTGGGAAAAAATACCTTAAAAACAACAAAAACTTCTTCATCTATTTAGGATCTAAACCATACCCTAGATTCTGCCCTATCATTATTAACAAAACCCAGACAAGGACAAGATAATAAAAAAAAAAATGTGTTTGGTAGAATACTCTGGCTCAATTAAACCGTCAGCATGAATAAAAATAAAACATTCATAAGTCCTAGATCGAACATCCTGTGATCTTGGATCAAAGCCGTAGCTTTGGTCAGCATGGTGTGAAACGACCGGAGAGAGGAAGCTGATCACCTGTAAGCGCTGGTGTCGTGTCCGAAGCTGTTTGAGCCACTCTGGTTCCTGTGCCGCTCCTCCAAACACAGCGTCACCATACTGACCCTCTGAGAACCTGAGTCTGTCTGACAGCTGCAGCAAGGAGAAATACATACAGCATGTATAGAAGCTAAACCTCGATAAGACGGGTCAGACGATCAAACCGTGTGCATGTGTACCTTAATAACCTGCTCTGTCAGCACATAGTGCGGCTCCGTCTGCCTGAGGACGGCCTGCCCTACCACCTCGCAGTAATGGAAGGCCTGGGACCAAAGCCCACAGTCCAGCAGCCGACTGGCATACAGCAGCTTATACACCTGATCACCGAGCAGAGAGCCTCAGCTTTTAACAATTCAAATCTTTTAGCTGAAGGCAGGTCTGAATTACCTGAAAGAATGGGATTGAAAAGGATTTTCCTCCAAGTGTCTGACAGTACTCGTATAACTCAGTACACTGGATGGCTGAATTTGAAGCAAAGTTTCCAAAACACTGCCTGGAAGAGAGGGAAGAAGCTTGTAATGAAACTCATGGTGAAAAAAAAAGTAATCACCATTTAGACCAACATGTTTTAGTATTTTACAATGAAAAAAGAATTAAAACTACAGTAAACTTGCAAAGGAATGAACAGAACATTGAACTGTGACAGCAGAGAGAGATAACGGGACCGACAAAAGCTTTAATTCCAGGAATCTGGAAAAAAGCATATTGATATGCAAAAGTCTTCAGGGACCTTTTTCAC